GCGGCTGTCTGTTTTGGGGTCGCTCGATTACCGACCGAGCTATTATAATATTTTTTTTGCGACGAAATTTACTGCCATATTCGAATGATATTTTTCATTCCCTGAAAACAGGGATAAAAGGACATTTTCTAAAAATGAAACCTAGCTAGATCAATTTCTTGCCCCCGAATCTACGCACATACTAAATTTCATGTAAAACACTGGAGCCGTTTCCGAGATTCCGATTATAAATATACACAAGAATTGCTCGTTTAAAGGATAAGATATATCCGTGAAAATACTTTCGTTTAGTGGGTTGTGTACCTTTCCAACCGATAAATTCTAACTTATATTGATAGGTCAATGTAAAATTCAATAGGTTTCTGCTGGGCTAGGCTACGATTAACGACTGCATCTCAAGTCCCTTTCAGGTGGACCCACAGTCGAATCCTAGTCGGTTCATGCCAAAAAAGCCTCTTTTGCTACAACCATTTAACATACCATACCGTTCTCTAAAACGTATATTCAATTATCAATAATGGCCAGAGACTCGTCAGTTGTGACACTCAACTAACAAACTGTTAGTAATTAGCTGTTGGACAGTCAAAACCGTCAAAGTTTTCTTAGGCATTGGTACCCAAACTTTTATTAAATTTATGCTTTTCGTATTTATCCTTGATAAGTTTCTATTATCAGTAACTCCAAATTCTTTTTTTTAATTATGCAGGTATATACACAAAAGTAGTTAGGTATAAAATTAGCAGGAGCCAGGGGACTTGCAAGTGCAGAGCAAGAGTCATTTCCACACATCCTTGTCCCCAATGTATTACTCGACATTATAATAAGCCCTTTCGATAAGCCCTTAAGATAGCTTTTACAAAATGCTTGAAATTATTTACACTTATTTATTGTAGATATCACCTATTTTATTATTTAAGTTAATACCAAGAAACGATTTCCTGGTTTTAGCTAGTCTAAACCTCGATATTTCCAGGCTGTAACCACGGCCCCGAGTGATGTGGTATGTTAGTTCGTACATACATGATGTTCTCGAGTATGTATAGCGACGGGAGCGGTAAAGCGTTTATTTGCTAAAAAATATTCCGAAGGGACTCACGTAGACCCAAGCCATAGTCAGCCCGTATAGCCTGCCTTTGTAATACAAATATTGTGTCTAAACCGGATGCGGAACCCTAAAGTAAGATACCATAAGACATATTACTATGAAAATAAACATAATAACTAATTTAGCTGCACTAATTAAACTGTTGCCCCGTTTGTAAGTTAAGCCTGATCTTGCGTATGTTAAAGACGGCAGCGCTCAACTTCTTATCTAATTTATCTACATGAACTCCCCATTGCAATTTAGAGTATATATAAACTCCATTAACCAACAACGTGATTTTAAAGTTTCGGTTAAACATGTCTTCAACATTTTTGTAAAAAACAGTTGACAGGCGCATGTATATAAGTTGTTCGTTACAAATTTCACTGATGCTTAGGATAAATTTGTTACAGTTACATTTATTAAACACTGCTTTAGATTTCATTTTTTGTAATAAAAACGCGATGAAATATCTCTGTTAAGTTATGTCTGTTCATTAAATGACCAATAAATTCAGGAATGTGTTCTATACAATAATTCAGTTGATGACGATAGTTACGTTCATATTAATATCAGTATTAGTTTTAAACGGTGTAAATGTTAATATCTATTCATGAGAAAAAATAATATTTAGTGACATTGGAAGTACATTTTGAAGATCATTTTCCTTAATTTTTTTGTTAAATAAAAATCTGTCTGTGATTGCTGTGCAAAAATAATATTTTGAAAATATATTATTAAGTGGTAGGGCCTGTGTTGCCACATACAACTGTGGTACAGCCACGCAACAGTCTTCTCTGCTGTAAAACCCGTAGGGTTGCAGATGCATTGCCATCTTTTAATAAAATGGGCCGGCTATGTCGGCTACCTCACTCATCAGACGAAACGCAGAAGATGGACACTTCCACTTCGCGCCAGTCTTCTGTGAGGTCGTGGTACTTACCCGGACGGACCTGCCCATTCGTGCAACAGCCGAAGCGTGGCCCTACCACATTGCTGAACATAGTCCTCCTCTAAAAATTTTCACTTCGATCGGTCGGAACCGGCCTAAATCCAGCGAAGAGCCCTCGATCTTAGTCAGATCATCAGTCTATTGCGGGTGGCCGCCCCACGTAGCCCTTTCCGACACGCAGTCTCGAGAACCTTGCTGCCCCACCAGCCCTCAGTTCTGTGCGCTACCCATTGCCACTTTAGCTTGCAGACCCTTTTTAAGTATACTACAACCTACATATTTACCGAATACATAAATTTAAAAACCAGTGTGCGTACTCATGTACTCACTCCTACGTCAAAAGTTGTACTTCCTTAGCGTAACGTAAATGAAAATATACTAAAAATGTTATCCTATGCACCAAAGTATCCTTTATCTTAAGTATTATTTCCCTCTGAAAAAGACATTAAATGCAATTTGATACCGGTTATATCTTGAAATTTATACGTAAATGTCGAAAGGTTGTTATTCGTTGCCATGTTTATCATTATCTTTAAACTCTTCACTACTCAAGTATTTCAATATGTTATTAATCATAAGCGTAATTTAATAAATGCGTTATTTGTAATAATTAAATCAAGAATAGAGGCTGATCCCTTCTTATATCTACTCCATAAAACTCTATAAATCTTATGTACTTTCAAGCAGAGGCTTACATTATTGTTTTTTAAATAAAATCATGTTAAACAAATCGATTATTCCGTTTTTCCGCGGCGTCGAAGGTGGAAAATGCATTGCCGTTAGCTCGGCCTCCAGCCGCCATTGGCGGTCGCGCAGCCAATGGTGGTCCGCGCGTTCGCATTTGCGCGCGCACGCCTACCTAATTTTCTATTTTCGTATTTGAATAGATTCCAATTGCGTTCTGAAACCGATTGTGTCGAGTACAGTGTGGTTTCTTTTTAGAATCGATTTCGTTTTTATCAAGCAACGATTGTTCCAAATTCAAAACGGCCCTTTTTATATGGTACGAATCGGTTGAGGTAAATATTGAAATTATAATTAGTTGTTTTATGTTATAATAATTTTGAAACATTTAATGGTGCTTCCGGTAAAAATTAATTGTTATGTATGATTAGAACTTTGATAACATTTTTTTCAGATATTTTTAAGAAACTGATATAAAATTGTTTCTACATCAGTCTCGCAAATGGTATAATCTAAACACATTACATAAATAATTTCGAAAACATAAATAAGCAAAAATTTCTTCCAACTCACGCAATAGTAACTTACGAACGTGTTAATTTCTTTGTAAAATTTTGACGTTTCATAAGAACGCGCAAGCGTTTATGTGAATAAAGATATTTTATTATTATATATTGGGGATATTTCTTTGTTTTCTCGTCTGGTTGGGTTTATAGATAAAAAATAAACATATAGATATAAATATTGTATATAATACATATATAAATAGGACCCAACCAGATTAATATTATTATGGGGGGATATTCATTTGTTTCCTCGTCTGGTTGGGTTTAGAAATAAAAATATAGATACATATTGCAAATATAAAATAAATATTATGGATAAAAATAAACATACTTATAAAAATATTTTATACAATACATATAGAAATACGACCCAACCAGACGGAAGCCCTCGGCAGGGGAGACCAAACGGCCGAGGGTTAGGGCGATAGGGAGAGAAACCGGCGGACGATGCGGGCGGTATCGAGGAGCACCGTTTTTTGCATTTGAGCTTGGAGCGATCCGTCCCTGAGTCCCAGTCGCCTCAGATGTTTGCAGAGGCTGACTGGGATTAACCCATTCGCAGACACGACTATCAGGATAATTTCGGCCGACACACCACCCCACATGTCGGTCACCTCGTGAGCCAGGTCCAGATACTTTGTCTTCTTATCTGTTTCGGCTTTCACGAGGTTCTCGTCATATGGAATGGTAATGTCGACCAAAAATACCCGCGACTGTGCCCGGTCCATCACCACGATGTCAGGTTTGTTCGCGACAATCGTCCTGTCCGTGATGATGGGCCGGTCCCAATAGAGCCTGGCGCGGTCATTTTCGAGCACGGCCTCCGGAGAGTACTTATAGTACGGCAGTTTCCGATCCACGAGGCCGTATTTCAGAGCGAGCTCCTGGTGTAGGATTCTGGCTACTAGGTTGTGTCTATGCAGATACTCAGAGTTAGAAAGCATGGAACAACCGGAAATAACATGCCGAAGCGACTCCCCGGGATGGCGACAAGCTCGACAGATGTCGACGGTGCCATCCTTTAGGATGTATTTCCGATAGTTGTTCGTCTTAATAACCTGATCCTGTATCGCACAGACAAAACCTTCGGTTTCCCCAAAGAGGTCACCGAAACGTAGCCAGTTGAGGGAGGCAGTAGTATCTACGAAAGGCTCGTGTAGGGCCTTGTAGAACCTCCCGTGGAGCTCTTTCTCCTTCCATACGGCCTCCCGGTCGGAAACGCTCAGTACTCCCGGGTCCTGGCATTGCTCGTTGGCTAAGGACAGAGGGGTAAGTCCTTTATCACAACTAATGACATCCGTGTAGATTGACTCATCCGATCTCGCCAGGAAGTAGTTGCGGAGGCTGTACACCTCGCGATTGTGCATGGTAAGGGCGCTCAAAAAGCCCCTCCCGCCATGCTTCCGCGGCAGGTACAGCCTCATCACTGACGACCTCGGATGATGCATCCTGTGGGACGTCATAGTTGTGCGGACTTTTCGGTCCTGGGCATTGAGCTCAGTTTGAGTCCACCTGAGTATGCCAAAGGTATACATGAGGACTGGCATGACCCAGCCGTAAAATCCGTTATTATTATTATTAATTGATGCTAAATGTTTATCCACATGTAGAAAGAGATTAATTATAAAGCGGAAATCATCTTCACAACATGTTAGAGATTCGAGGTAGTTATCGATAATTTAGTAGTAATTACTACTCCTAAATTATCGTCTCAATGACGATCGTGGGCACCGCAATTATTGTACTTAGCGTGTGTCGGCGAAGTGAGTTAACTCTTTAAGGCTGCTCAAATATTTTAAACGTTTTATTATCTGCAATTAAACCGGCGTTACGATTATACGGTTCGCTCACGTTCTACCGTGAAGTTTATACAATGACTGTTATTAAAACTCTATCTATCATCAGCATTTTCTCAAACAACAACGTATTTAATTGGCTTAATTAAACAACGTAATGATTTCATAGTCAACGCACGTTTACGGTCGAATCTTTCCCGCCATAACATATCCACCAGTCCTTTTAACACTTTATGCAGCAGGTTTCTTCTGACATACAAAGTTCTGCATAAGAATTGAAACATATTGTTTTAACAATATTATACTGTTATATGGTACAAAAGGTAGTATTGTATAGCGAATGGACTCTACGTTATAAGTACAGTCAATCCAAATTTTATTTTGATAAAGCTACCCGTCATGACATCTAGCATCCCATCTTCGAACTACAAAAGTTTTCTTAATTTGCCACGAGCGCTGATGTCTGTCAAAAGCTTAGAGTAATATAATAGATACATTAAGCAGTTTATGAATTTCTTCAAAAGAATGCAAAGTCATTTACCACGGTTTACAAAAAAGAACAAAATTTAATACACAAGTTATATAAAATACAAATACAAAATACTTTTATACATAAAATATTTTTGACTATAGTCGTAGTCCTCAATAATGTTATTTTATTACTTTCTTGTGTATTTTCTTTTCAATTTACTTAATACATTTTTTTACTATTTACATATGTTATCCTTTTTTATTGTGATCTGTAATTATTTTTCTTGAAACGCCATCTATTGGCAAAAACAAGTAGACTAATTTTATGTCTCGTGGCAGGGCCACGAGCCAAAACATCTCCGTCTCTCTTACTCTTGTGCTGGTGTGTACACGAGCCTCATACCCGTGGATCTACTGAAATGCTGTCGTGCGTCTCTTTCTTATCGCATCGATCATTGATCTTTGAAATTCGAATGCGGTAACTCGAGCGGCGCGCGCGCCCTCGGCCACCGATTCCCGTCTCTTTCACACGCGCGCGCCACTGTTACCGTTGTCTCGTGTTTCTTTTATTGCCGTTTTATTATTTCTTGTAGATGATCACGCGATTGTGAGCTGTCGCTCGGCGCGCACACGTCACGGCCACCGTCCTAGTCCCGCCAAGGCGCGATTGCTATCTCGCGTCCCTTTCGCTCCGGCGCACGTCGTATTGCTGCCGTGCGTCGATGTTTTGGGAAGTGCACCCGCCCGACGTTCCCACGGTTCACCTTCGGCCGACTTCCTTACGAAAAAAACAAACAAGAGCACTCTGTTGAAGAAAATCGACGTCTGCCGGTCGCGCCGAATGATTAATACAATTATGACCGCGCACGCCGCTACCTACTCAACTTGATAATAATAGCTCTTTGTAAAGGACGCGTGGTCGTTCGGAGTTGGTTACTGGAAAGGTTTTTACAGTTTTGATACACATACTTGGCGGGACTAATTATCATATCGGGTATTGACCGATTTATTTGGGTATTATCTGCGTAGGTTGTAAATAACGGATATTAGATGTTAACTTTTTTCAATATCAATTTGGAAAATTATAAAGCTTTATTTTATTGATTCATTTGTTTTTGCGACAAGAGTGGAAACTTCAAATCAAAACTTTTTCTATTACTTTGGTATTAATGAAAATGTAAGGTTCTCGGATGTTTATTGAGGGCCTGTTTTTCTTATCGGACGAGTCATATGTAACATGTAACTGACATGCATCGTTAATTGAGAACTTTACGCAACTTAATATTGGCAGGACTTGCATTATTATGTGAGAAACTTAAACATGAATTTGAAAAAATGGGGTCATTGCTTTATATGTAAATGTTTTGGTATTTAGAATTTAATATAATTTCGGTAATATGGTACTTTCCGTATACATTGCAGTGTTCAGTCAGTAAAAATATGTAGTGTCATGAAATAATGTAGTTTTCGAGTAATTAAAGTATAGGTAAGTAATCATTATTTCAATCAAAGATATTACAACAATTAAAAAACTCGTACGAAATGATTTATCATTTATCGCAATCAGAGTCGGGACTTGTGAATTAGGTCGTCAAACGTCGTCGGACATCGAAATGTGTTTACAAAGTCACAATCGCGTGTAATTTACGATTTGGTGTATTGGAGTTGCGATGCGCGGCAGATGGCGGCTCTTCCCTTTATGCGGGGCGCGTATTCAGTCTAACAGGAGCGCTGGAATAAAATGGATGCGCTCGTATCGCGGAATAATCGTGCGTAGTCAACGTATCAGTGCATAATTTTTATTTATGTGAAAAGTTGCCAAGCGAGCGGACGGTGCACCTGATGTTAAGTGAATATCGCCGCCCATGGATATCTGCTACACCCAAGGGCTCCGGATGCGTTGACAACCTATTGAAAATTGGGCTCCGGCCGGCTCACTTACCAGACGAAACGCGAAAGTATTATACTTCTACTTTACGCCGGTCTTCTGTGAAGTCGTGGTACTTACCCGGACGAGCCTGCCCATTCGTGCAGCAGCCTTGGCTGTGGCCCTACCACCGTATATTGTAGAAATATAGTAATAGCTGTAGTAATATGTTGCCGACATAGGGAAATACGTGGGCAAGGTTTCTATATTTTATAGTAAAATAGAATGTAATATTTAAGCAAAAAGAGCGTGTTGAAATTTACCGTTAATGTAATCTGGCGTGTTTGAAATTATTATACTTACTGGAAAGATTTTCGTTTTCACTTTATTATAATATACTTAATGGTTATAACTGCGTACAGTCTCGTTGCTTAGAATTGTTAAAATGTTAACTAAGAAAAAATATATATATTTCATATACATTTCCTTACATTCTTGAATGATTTATTTGTTTTCAAGGTAGAGAAACATACCGAATCTCTATTATATATATGTATTGGGTAAAAAATACAAAGGCAAGATTTTTTTTTCTTTAAGTGTTATAGTGCCCATAGTATAGATTTAAGGACTGGACACAAACTGACCCATTTTATAGTATATAAAATAATACTAACAGTGTAACGGGTGTATCATCCATATTCCAACGTCCCACCGGCATGTGCTCAAGAAACAATATCCCGATCGCGGACGGTAAGATCTCTGGAGGGAGCGTGATTCCCACGATCTCCCCCCGTTCTTTTTATAGCCCACGTGTTCCCTAATAAAGCGCTCGCCTTTTGCAAATCTCTTCGCCAATCAAGCGTAACAAAACTGGCGAAACAAAACTGGACGAATACTCAGTATTCACCGCAACTATAAGGCATATCGTGTTTTTGAAAATGAAAGAAAGAAAACAAATATTTGTTGTCCATCTCTGGACAGGTCCAAATAGGTGTTAGTTTCTTCAACCGATTTCAAAAGAATGTTTCTCAATTTGACTGTATTTTTTTTTCATGTTTGTTACCTCATAACTTTAGACTGGATGAACCGATTTTGATGATTCTTTATTTATTTAAAAGCCGGTGCTTCCCATGTGGTCCCATATTAATTTCATTGATTTTGGATTTTGGGCTCCGGAGATACTTAGAGAAATCCTGAAAATCAATTATAAAATGAATACAGAGCGAGTTTTGTTCTTCGTTATAAAAAGAACTTGTTGACATTTAATAAGAGCTTAAAACAAGACTATATTGAATAAAGAAATTTTGACTGTGTTAGACTTTGAAGGTTAGCTCGAGCTGCGTTTAGATTAAGTAAAAGATACTACATCTACAATTCGCATGCAATCTTTGTGCCGGAATTCCACTTAACATTTGATGATTATTGATACTTGCCACTAATACTTTTTTCTAAATACGTTGTAAAATCTCGGCTCGGTGATTGACAGAAAAACCCGCGAGGCGATCATTGGCGGCATTTATTTGGCTTTACGTAATTTTATACGTCGTCAAGTTTTTACGAGCCTCGTGGGGATTTCAAGGAGTGACAAAAAATCCATGGAAGTGGTAAAGCCCGAAGATATTATCGTAATTCCCGTAAGGCTTCTCTCTCACGGTGTTTTTTTGAACAATATACGAAATGCGAAATCAATTCGTAAGTTTTCCCTTTCCGGGTCCGCCCGGTCGGTGTAGATTACTTTCTAAAATGGCGGACACGACCGTGCTGTTTTGCGCGTGTTGCCTTTTAAGCGACGGCGTTGGTTGTGAAGCAGAAATTGGCATCCTCGGTGATACGGTTGAGAACCATTTTGGGAAATGTAAAAAAGAAATATATGCACGTAATGCTGAAGGAAAAATCAGCAGACAGTAATATTACCATATAATGTTATTTTCGATACTATTATTAACCAGCATGCGATACAATGCCATTAAAAGAAAAGTTTTTTTTAATGTGTGAAAATCTGGAAAACGGTTCACCTGATGTTAATTGATAACCGCCGCCCATGGACATTCGCAACACCCATAGGGTTGAAGACGCGTTGCTACCTTTTAATAAAGTGGGCCCCGGCTACCTCACTCACCAGGCGAAACGCAGAAGTGTTACACTTCCACTTCAAGCCTTCTGTGAGGTCGTGGTACTCATCCGGACCGACCTGCCTACTCATGCACCAGTGATGTCTTTGCGTGGCCCCACCACAGTTACAACAATTGGTTTTTGTTTTTCTACGTGTAGGTTAACTCACCAAGGTTCAATCACAATTCGTAGATTGATCTGGAATTGCGTAGAGGAGAAACAACGAAAGATCAATTTTTATTCAATTTTACATTGATTCAAAATACTCCGAGTGTGCGATTTAAGAAAGCTCGATGCACAATCATGCAAGATTTATTTTTGATTCATAATAAAAACAACTCGCTCAGCGGCTACACTAGGCACACCCGCGTCCCAGGGCGGTTCTCACCGCCCCCAGCCACCGATTAACCGAGCACAATCAACGGCCATCGGGGTCATGGTCCGCGCCGAACCTCGATAGCCCGTAAGCGACACTCCTTAGCTAACACATGCGCCGCCCTACCAACTGAGGAGGGTTCTGCGTTCAATTAAGCTTCAATAGTCTACGGACTGAAAGCTTAACATCAATTATACAAAGAAACTCTCAGAAGAAAGCAACGTCTTCTAATTCACTATGCTCAACGTCCGTTCAAATTTCGGTGTAGAAACCAATGATATGTCCATTGCGGTTTTAAGTCCGGACTTATCACGTACTCAACGCAGATGTGTACATCGTAAGGAAACCTGCATATTTTCGAAGGACTAACAAAAAGAAATATTAGTGAAGATAACTGAAGTCTGCTAATTCGCGATGGGGTCGTGTGGTGGACCCCAAACCTACTGTACAGAGAAGGCCTTTGCCCAGCGGTGGGATTTATAATATATTGGCTGTAATTTTTTTTTTTTTACTTTTTTACTTTCGTATTTGGTACACTTAATTTGGACAAAATTGTGCTTGAGCATTGAGAATTTTCCAGGATAAACTTAATTTGTAGGGCCACTGTTGGTTCAGTTTTATTCATTTTTAGACATACGTAACCTAGTGGTCGTTGGGATTGCGATGTTGAGATCACTCGGTCGAATCCTATTGTACTATATCTATAAATTGCGTTAAATGTGAAATGATGGCAAACGATGAATTATGTGGTAAATGCTACAGTTTAGTAAAATTCTATTAAATTACTAATTTATGAACTTAATACGACGGAAACTCTGACTCGCGATTTACGTGAATCAAAGTTGGGAACGTCATACGAAATATCGATCGGTATTTTAAATGCCTTATTACTTAAAGTGGTACAATTAACCTTACTCGTTATCAAAAATTATAATCGCTTCCGTAAATCGTTATGTCGGTTTATTTAACCGGCCCATTACCGGTTCTTGGGAAATGATCACCGTTCGGTGTCTCTTTCGCTACGGTGACATTAAAGAAGCGCTTAACAAGCAGTTGGAACGTCTAGTTAAGGTTAATTAGCGCTTAAACTATGGTTAGTGATCACCGCCGTCTACCGATATATCCCGTGGGACTACACGTTTCCAAACTTCAGGATCTGAGCCCTGGTCCTCGCTCAGTGGGAATAACGAAAAATGATAAACATTTATATATCGCGACCAGTTCCACCTTCCGTTCTTTCAGCAGCAGAAACCAATGCTTCCCTCTACCACGGCAATAATAATATAATTCAAGTGGCGTTCCGTTCTGTGATTAACAATTGACAATGATACAATATTTAACAGCCGGTTTCAATAGTATATCTACATTTACCGGACGTTGTTGACTTAAATTCGACAACTTGGAAATAAAAAAAATATTGTAGTGAGCCGAATTGTGAATATAAGCCATTGTCCAATCGACGTGAAGACACAAACAAATTTTCATTAAAATCGGTCCAGGCGTTTAGGAGGAGTTCAGTGACCTACACACG